ACACACACACAATAATCGACCAAGACTTTAATAAATTATACATTTTTAACCTTTGCCCATATGAAAAGGGGTTTCACGTGTTGTTGCATGCCATAATCAATGTGGCCATATCTTTATCTATTGAACTATTATTTATCATATAGTAACACAAAGGCTCGTGGTTTGCTAATTCTTCATCCAATCCACTGTCTTCCTCTTTAATCACCTTAGTGACCTGATTAAACTCTATAGGTAACATATAGATCATATTACATATTATGTCTAAATTCTTCTTCAGAACTATACTTCAAGTTGTTAGTTGTCATGTCTTAGTCTCTGTTCAATATGGCCTATTTCTCCTTGGATTTTTCCATAGGTGGCAAAGGAGGAAACAACCTTTGCTTCACATGCCTTTTTTTCATTTGAACTTCAGCCATGGCTTGACAACTTTCATTCTTACTCGAGCTTTCAGCTTTGAAGGCAACATTTTTCTTGTGTTGGTGCCTTCTCCATTGGGTCCTGGTAATAGGGTTCTTGGTCAGGTATTTTTTAGAAGTATATGAATACTTCTTTTATACTTATGAGTTATCATGGTAAGATGATCCTGCATCAAATTCGATCAATATCAACTTTCATCGATCCAAATTTATTTTTTCTACAGGTCTGACCCACTCACCTAGTGAGGTGTTGGTAAGTAGGACATAAGTCCTGGTTTGATGTGTTCTGTGAGGGACTCCTCTTTTTCAGAAGATGAATTTTCTCTTAATTTTGTCTCTACCAATCTGTGATGGTTGTTGAGGTACTACCTTCTCTAATTCGTTGGCATCCTCCTTGTCAAACAGTGCATTATAGCATGGATAAAGCATCATTTCTAAGCCCTTAATCTTGCACCTATTTAGGAAGTTGATCAGTTCTTCCTCAGCTTTGGGGTAAACCATTTTCATTTGCTCAATGAAGTCGAGAATAGTGACTTTGTCCACCATTTTGTCGAGGCCTTCAACAGCGTCGACCATCATGACATCTACAAGTTTGACAAAAATGGATTCTTCGACCTTCAAGGGGTCTGATTCATTTTCCACAAGAAGCTTTTGTTTGTCAATAAACGTTAACCTTCTATCTATCAGAGCAGACTGCACCACGTCCCTAAAAAGAACACATTTATAAGTTTTATGACCTAGAAAATTATGAAACTTACAAAATCCTTTTTTCTTTCTTTATTCTAACAGTGGCGTTTTAAACCCCTTTGGGACTATTATTTGGCCATCAGAAACTAACAGGTCAAAAAATTTGTCACACTTGGTTACATCAAATGTATATTTTTTTGTAACTAACTTCTCATTTTTACTTGGTTCTACAGGATTAACCTCACTTTCTTCAACAAATTCACCTCTTATGTCAGATCCTTGGTTATTTTCGTCCACCTCAACATAGGCGACTTTTCTTTTTTGTGATATTTATTTGGCCGAGCCTTCGCAGCTTTCAAACATTTGAATTGTCGAACTTTGTCTGCTAGTTAGGCCATGTTCCTCAAGTATTGGGTATCTAACTTCTTCCTAATGGAATAGTTTAACCTTTCTGCAACTATTTTGACTAACTCATGCTCAGGAACTTGGGAAAATAATATTTCTTTCAGTAGCTTAAACCTATTAAGGTAGTCATCTATTGACTTAGAAAATTTTCTCTTTACATTGGCTAGTTCCTTTATGATAATCTTCAACTGGCCCATGTAAAACTGTTTATGGAATACTCGTTCTAACTTATTCAAAGGTGGGGAGGGATAGTAAGCCATGTAAAAGCATTCTTATTTAAAGAATTTATGAAATACTTCATTTTTACGTTTTCATTATTAGTCAAGTCTCCTACCTCAGACTAATATCTAGCAACATGTTTGATAGTGGATTCGTTGGTATACCCTGCAAACTTATTGAACTTAGGGATTTTCCAATCCCTTAGAAGTTTAGTCTGCAACAAGTATTTAGACAAAGCAGAGACAATATTTTCCCTATGAAGGCCAACATTGAGACCATTTAGTGCTAAAATCCGTTCGACCACATTAACTATATTATTTTCCCCCAAAAGTTATTATGTTGGACATTCCTAACCACCTAGTATGATCCTGGTTTTTATGCACCAATACTACTTCAAGGTCATTTTGGTATGCATTGTCTTTGACTACCTAGGTACGGGTTGTTCGACAAGTATAACCAACTGCGATATTTGGCTATTAAGCACTGGCTGGGCAGGCGCTTGAGAAGCACCAAAAAATCAATAATTGTACCCATCTGGTACGCCAGTTGCTGGTAACTATGGTTAGTGTTTTGGATATGAGGGTTAAACATAGTACCAATTTATTGTTTAAGCATATTTACCATATCCTGGTTACTCTCATCCATTTGTTGCCTCACAAACTAGAGGGAACTAGTGGTCAAGGGTGATATACCTTGAGGGATATGTCCTAACCCTCCTTGTGGTTGTGTCATTCGACTAAGATTGCTTATAGCAAATACCGATGCGAAATATGGATTGAGCGGGGATACAACAGTTATTGCATTATCTACATATGCATATGCATTGGTTTGTATGCCTTCCATCATTGTAGTTAGCATGCCATAAGGGTAGTCCCTACCAACGGGGCATATGGTAAAATTTGGGAGAAAAGAAGGCCTAGGATTTCTAAAAATTGGTTGTGTGGCCATGGGTAGTTGGGATACTCGTCATTTGTGGTGGAAAATTGCCACTTTTGATAACTTCGTCGAAAATGGCATTTGGCTTATAAAAGGAGCGATTACTTCAATAGATGTTGAAGTTCCCACATCACCAACTGTGGTTTTGATTGGTTGCTCTTTTATATTTTGTGTGTCATTTTATAGAAGGGAAATATTTTGTGACTTTATTGCTGCCATATTCCTTTTAACTCTACTACTTCTCAAACGCATACAGACTCAAACATTTCTAAAAAGAACAAAATAAATAGTAAAAGACACAACATTTTTCTGCAGAAGTTACAATTTCTTGCACAAAAGTTTCTCATTGGTTGTGCCAATTTATTTACTGGTATTTTTAGTAAACAATCACGAGTTTCAATTTGCTGAATGGATTAAACTCAAAAAAGTTCTAAGGACAACTTGTGCAAAAAAAGTACAACAAAAAGTGTTCGTGATTGGACCTTAGATGTTTGAATGTTAACAAACTCAACATAAACTTGAAAAAAATGTACAGTTGCTTTGGAAGAAGAAAATAGACAAAAATCATAATAAATGTCATAAAAATAAATGTTTCAATTGAAAATACTTAAAGAATTTAAAGAAATGACAGAGACATACATTTTCTCACAAATGTTTCCTCTCTCTGCCTTAGATACTTTAGTTATATAGAGAATAAATGAAATTTGCGACCCCTAACCACAACAATGAGATCAACTTATATACTAATACAATACTAACCGTCGACAACGGTTACCTCAATAGAACTTGACATGTATTCCTTACGTAGGCTCCAGTCTACTAGTTTGCTTCCACACGTCTTCAATGTTGAAACTGCTGCAAATTACCCATCATGCTGATAACTGTCTTTAACCCTCTAACTGCCTCTGATGAGAGTCTTTGGTAGACTTATTTTGTGGCATCAAAATACCTTCAAATTATCGAATCTTTGGATTTAAGAATATCCTAACTCCCCAACAATCACGTGAACACGTCGAACTAGACACATATACACCTAATGTTCACGTCGAAGTGTTGATTAGTGCAAACCTTTTTAAGATTCTGAACATGATTTGAAGAGAGAGTGATCATAATCTTATTGATATGTATTTGAGACTCTTCCAAACTAGACATCATGGACATAAAATACATTATGTCCCAGATCGTCTAACAAGGTAGTCGGCATGGTTAATATGTCGAGTTTATGTTTGAGACTCTTGACACTTAACATTTTCAAACGTAGTCATTACCATTCTTTGTTGAATACTTCAGCTAAGATATCCAAGCTAACAGTTGCACGTCACGCAAACCAAAGATAATTATAACCGCCTACTTTATGTGTGTGTGTGTGTGTGTGTGTGTGACTCTGAGTCACACTCAAATATACTTTGACTCATACTTGTAAAATTTTAGCTCATTCATACACAGATTTAAACGTTAGAATGCTAATCATTCATAAATACATATCATCAGGGTCGACTCTGTGCAAGTGCAACAAGCGCTACAGCACAAGACCCAAAATTTTGGAAGGGTCTAAAACTTAAAAAGGACCCATTTTTTTAATTATAAATAATAATAGAAAGAACAAAATATTATAATAAAAACTCAATAAATTAAAAATATAATATGATAAAACTCAATACAAACAAAAATTGAGATCGATCAAAACTTAAAATAATTATAATTAAATTTATTTTTTATTAATACATCATGTGTCTTTTCCAATTATTAATTGTATTTCTTTTTAAATTTTGGACCCATTTTTAAAATTAGTCATAATCACCTAATATAATTGTATCATTCCATTGAGATGTTACAAATAGTTAAAAATATATATTTTATTTTTCATAGACAATATCAATAATATCAATATATATTACAAAAGTATCTTTATAGTCCACAAATATTTTGCACTTCGGTGATAACACTTAGTAGTAAGGGCCTTGTTACAATTAATGGACGATCTTGAAACATGCATGAATGCATGCCTTGCATATAAAGACATATTCGTACATGCATATATAATTAACTCCTCTTGAAATGAACTTCTTTGAAATATTTTCAATCATATCACAAGATAAATATATACATAAAATTAATCATGCATATATATCTCTCTCATGCAACTTAATTTGGAGAAAATAAAAATCTCTCTCACACCTCAAATTTCATTACAGAAGCACAATTCATTGATTATCTAACTAATCAATTTTTCTAGAATCAAATCCTGCCATGTAACTTTTATTCTTTTTCTTAATAGTCATACACTAGTACTATATATATATATTCTCATACAAAACACCATGAATTGTATCTATATTAACAATTAAGATCAATATCCCTATCCATATCCATAATCTTCTGAGACTCACAATCATTTGAAGGTAAAGCAATGGTTAAGTCAAGATTCAAAGAGGACATAGAATTATTTGTTGATGCTTCTTTCTTTGTGATAGCATCACACAATTTGTTATTATTATTATTATCGATATCTTTGTTCATGGACTCGTCCCATGATGAAGTGCCAGCAGTAGAAACATGAGGATTAATAATAGGTAAGCCTTTGTGTAGCTTGTGATTATTTGGATCAATTCCCATTTTTATGAGCTTTCTACGAATATGAGAATTCCAATAGTTCTTCACCTCATTATCTGTACGTCCTGGCAATCTTCCAGCAATGAGTGCCCACCTAATATACATGTACAAATATATATAAGTTTTATATAAATATGTATAACTATATATAGGTTAAATTCACTATCAAAATATGATATATTTAATAGTAACATATAATACAAAACATGTTCTTAATTATCAAGGAATACCTAATTAACATATTTGGCACAACAGTTCTTTTACAAAAATATACATTTTTCATTTATGTGAATCACTAACTTAGTATTATAAATTCTATAATTTGTGACTAAAATAGTGATTAATTAACTATTTATTTTGATTCGTCGGCCGGTACTTTTAGCCACTCGTTAACATTTTTTAAACACTTTAACTGTCAAACAACTAAACAAAAGCTTGTAATCGAGAGTAGTATACCGATTGCCAAGGAGGGCATGGAGTTTAATGATGAGATCTTCTTCATCTTGTGCAAAGATTCCTCGTTTGATATCTGGTCGTAAATAGTTTAACCATCTTAGTCTACAACTTTTGCCACAACGATGCAACCCTAATCATAGTAATAATACATATATTATATATTTTTAACTATAAAAAAAGATTGCGTATAAATATTCATATAAAGTGGCTCTACGATATAACTTATTACAGAATCGTTAAATTAACAGAAAAAAAATTCGTTCAGATTTTCTTTCTTTTAATCTAACCATTCTGCAATAGTTTGCTTCGTATAGAGAATCCACCAAGTCCTTTAAAAGAGTGATATTATTGTATAGTATTAGTATGAGTGAATGAGATAATGAACTAACCAGCAGCTTTAGGAATGGATCCCCAACATCCTTCACCATGAACTTGTATATAATCAATAAGCTTTTGATCTTCTTGCTTAGACCAAGCACCTTTATTGATGTTTTCTTTATCACAACAAGGCTTTCTCATTGTTGGTTACTTTTTTAGCTTAAAGCATAGAAAATGCTAAAGGTTGTATATGGAAAGAGAGAAAGAGTACTTTGTGAGAGTGGCTACCATGACAAATGTCACAAAGATGATAGTTAGATATATATTGGTAAAGAAGGGAGATCGATGTATGAGTTGACTTGGACTGGTGGTTTTGGTTGGTGTAGTTGGTGAATATTTTGTGTGTAATTTTTAGAATAGGGATAAAAGTGTTTGTTGACTTATTTGTTTTACAAGATTTTTCATTTGCTTACCGTTAAGTATAGGTCTTTTTCAAGGGTTTGTTATAGTTATGATTATGAATTGGAGATTATGGTTATTGAGTCGAATTCTATTTGGGTTGATACATTGAAAATGGTCTAGCTTATAGAGACTAGAGTGCATGTACGCCATTAATGTCATTAATTGAATTGTCTAGGGTTTTTGTTTTAGAGTTTACATAAAAATAAAAATGTATCGTGCTAGTAGTGATTGGCGCCAGATTTGATAAAAAAAACTATGGTTCGTTGAAATTACTATTTCAGACGGATTTATCGGTCAATTGAAGTGAATATTGATGGTAGAAGGAAGCATGTAGTGCAATGTTTGCCGGTTTTATGTTGTATGTGAATTAAATTATGTATAAGTAAATGTATTTGTTGTTAGATTTATATATACTCAAAAAAGAAAAAAAATTCTAGTACTTTTTATTTATATTAAATTGCATCTGCTATCCATATAGAGTTGGACCCCCCTACGGTATGTGATAAATGAGAGACAACCTTAGCTAGCTTGGGACAAGAAATTAAAAATATTTAGATTTTCATCTTTTTTTTTACATTTTTTTAGTTTTTAGTTGCAAACTAAATTAATAAAAAAAATGTATAGAATGCAATTTTTCAGAAAACTATATACGACTTCCAGAATTATAATTATTCAGTAATATGTACATAACATCACAACAACACAAATCCCTATAAACTTCGATCAAAAGACAGAAAGACAATATATATATCTTATACAATTCTCATCTCAAGAATGTATTGACATCATTCCTCCTTAATTTCTTCCAATTTGTCTTTCGAGTAAGTACCACACTTGAATTCAATAAAGCACTACATAATATAACATAATATGCATGATTTAGTTTTAAAACTAATTACTCAGATGAAATATCGGTTAAATATTAAAATAAATCATATAACTTATAAATTCATACCATGTTTGAAATCTCTATTTGAGCCGAATGAATAATTTCCTTCATAAACCTCAATACAAAATATTCGCAATCAATCTCATTGCACTGACGAGGACACTGTAAATGGAAAAAAAAAACGAATATATATATCAGGATGTATAGTTTAACTAGTTTTATCAAGTTGTTAGCCTTACTTTTTAGTACTCTTACTTGTCAAAATTGTGAAAATATACTTGCACTTTGATCCATCTAATGTTGTTAGCCTTACTTTTTAGTACTCTTACTTGTCTTTATGATCGGAATATTTGTATAGCTCTAACATAATATAAACGAATATTTAGAACAATCTCACATAATAAATAAAGATAATTATTCAGAACAATATATCTCATCACTTACGTATCAACCATATTCTTCATATCAGGATATTTTGTTTGATCACCATCCAATGAGTCTAGATAATACATTATGTCTTTTATCGGATTAATCGCAACCAACAACCAGTGTCCACTATAAAATAAGACAAAAGTTTAGACGGAAATGTTATATAGAATGTCAAAAAACGAATAATTATAATAAATGAATTTAGAATGAAATATAACCCATGGCCAATATTATATGGCAAAAAATATAACTTCTTTGTATCTATGGTCATAAATGTTTGGACTAAGTAATCTCTGACTACATTTGGAGTATGGTCGATTAACTGTGTGTTGATACAGCTAGAAGATAAGAATGTGAATCTCTCTATCAATTGATGCGGGACCAACAACTTGTCATACAAGAACCTTAAATAAAAACATAATCAACATTAGAATATTTATTAAAATTAGAAAATAAATTATTCAATTATTTAATTAAAATTGATCGGAGTACCTGATGTATGAATGCATAACACCGATGCCTAATTCAGAATGTTGGACAATCTAATCCAAATCCCCTTTAGCAATTGTTTCGGCATAATCAAAATCGAAAACACCTTCATCTATAGGTATTTGACGAATGTCACCCTCCACCATATTGTTGTTCCTACATATGTTTTAAGGCGCAACCTAAATCGAGGAACAGATGCTTTTTTTGGCTCGGCCTTTTTTTTATTGGACACCTTGCTAGATTCAGGCATCTCACCCTTGCTGACTTATTGCAACTCTTGAGCATGAACCTAAAAATCATATAAGTTAGGTAATTAATGTATAAGATCATAAAGCTATTCAAATCGGAGGATATAATTGACATTTTCTATGCATATATATATATCAGTTAATGTAGGAGTACCTGTTTTTTTGATACAGCTAACTCGGTTTCCCGCACAATCCCCTTATCTTTTGATTTGGATTTTGTAAGAGTCTAAGATCATCATGTAAATAAATGATACATAAATGTAAGAATAACTTACATGTGTGGGTCATAAAACATTTGAATACTACAAGGTTCATAATGGTGTTCAACCTACCTCATCATCTATGAAAATGAGATTTGACGGCCATGCAATATACAATCCTATTGCGTCTCCCACCAATGTTGCATCTGAAACATCGTCTGGTATAGGTACTAACGCACCCCCCTCTAAAGCAATATCAATCGATACTTTCAAAAATCCAGCAGGGAGCGGTTTATGGTGAAGTAAGTCTCCCAAAGTATTATGCATTTTTCCTTTGCCAACCATGCGATAAGTCGGTGACAATAAATAGAGCCGACAAGGTGAAATGCCCTAAACTAATAATGAATATGATTAATGTGTATATATGTCAATTAAGAAAATTATGCTAAATTAATTTCAATGTAATATATATAGTTACCTCGGGAATTTTCTGCTAAAAATTACAATTGATACTATCTTTGTCACTAGTATCATTAAACTCTAGACCGCGCCTTTCTGACATGTATCTCTCTTTGTCCTTTTGCAATTCACGAATTTGAGCTTTCAATTCTTCCAACGACTCTATCACTTATTTATTGCTAGGATTTTTATTCTTTGGATGCTTATACAATTTTGTTGGAGTGACACCAAATCCCTTACCCCTCACACGACCAGAATACTCAGGAACATTTAACACTCGACTTAGTATGCTCCTGCAATCATCGTCCTCAGTTGCATTTATAGTCTGGGATAGAATCTCCTGAAATATAGATAAAAGCATAAATATAGTATACACTTTTTAGTTTATGACAGAACTGATGTTGTACGTACACATTGCTCAAATACTTGTTGAACTTCTTCCTGAACGACTCCATCTCTACCCACACGGGCAGCCTTCCACAAAACATGGTCTGGAAGAGATGTTGTATCACTTTTCTCCTCTTCTAACTACACATTAAGACAAATAATAAGTTTCACTTTTCTCGTATTCTAACTATATCATATTAAAGCATTTATATATACTTACTATTTTTGTTGTAAGCGTATATCCCAAACGCCCTTTTTGTATGGATACGTGAGTTTTGATGCTCGTTGCCGATTTACGTCACTCACAGCCTGAAAAAACAAGTTTAAGTCATATCAGAACTCATGTGGAAGAAGTATATATATTATACATTGTTCATGATAAGTTAGAATTACATGGAATTCTTGGGTTCTTCGCTTGGCAACAAATGTTTCCCATTCTTCAAGTGAAATCAAATCAGCATACTTCTTTGGACGCTCTGATTCAACAAATTTTCCATCAGAATCCTTAAGAAACTTGTTCGTTAAAAATGTTCGAAATCCTCTTAGTCGTTTTCCGGCCAATTGAAAACAATATTTTTTCCGGTCGTCACCAATATTAAAACATCTCTGCAAACAAATTAACATACATATAGTATGTTAGTATAAGTAATTTAAAGACATAACCGTCGACATAATTAAAAAATATCAGATATGATACCTGTATCTCGCTCCATATTTTTTCTTTAGCAGGTTTCAACGAAGGAATTCTCCAATTATCACAAGTGAAGGGAATTTGCGAACGAACAAGTGCCCCAATGTAACTTGTCAACATCGCACCGTTAGGCTCAATTAATTGGTCCGTTTCATTCCAATGCACATCATATTTTATACTTTTATCTCTTGCACGAATGATTCCTTTCATAATCATTATTCCTCTTGTAATATCCCCTTCCACATCTTGTGTTGGTTCGTTTCTATCATGTTTAGAAGTATCATGTTATTTTTCCTCGTTGCTAGCCATAATACCTGTAATTCAGAAAAACAAAATTATGAAATGAATGACAAATATATATGAAAAGAAAAAGATATAAATAAGAAAAATATAAATAAGAAAAACATATATATATAATTTTATTGAATGACATAATATATAATTTTATTGAATGATATAATATATAATTTTACAAGTACCTTTGTCATTAACATCTCTTTCTTTTCTTTGTTGGAACGTGGTTTACCTGTCTCTTAACAACACAGACGGATGGATTGATCCAAATTCCCTCGTTATGATCATTTCTAATATATGATTTGTCCGCTCTAATATTCTCATCTTGATCATCTATAATATAAGATTCCTTCTCAACATCAATATCACCCTGATCTCCAATGTTATCATCAATTATTTGTTGGAAAAAAGAACTATAGACCATTTCATACTTGTCGGATCAGAGACATAGAACACTTGTTTAGCTTGCGTGGCTAGAATAAAAGGCTCATCTTTGTACCCCACCTAATTAAGATCCACTTGCAAAAATTTTGACTTATCTAATCGCGTCCAATCTGTGTTTTCTTCACAGATAGGACACGCACATTGACCTTTAATGCTATACCCCGATAGATTTTCGTATGCTGGAAAATCATTAATTTTGTCAAACAACA